GCCTTCCCGGGCCTGGGCCGCGGCGGCGGGGCCGGGTCTGTGCGGGGCGGTCGGCTCAGGGCTGAGGGCTGCACGCACGTCCTCGGCCCCAGGCTGGTCCCGCAGCGACGCCGCCCGGGTGGGAGGCGCAGCGCGTGGCGCGGGGAGTGTGGCGCGGGCGCACAGGCAGCGCGCCGGGCACCCTCGGCGGCGGCAGCATGGCGGCGGCGCTGCGGGAGTGCCGTGGGACTCGGCACCTGTTCGCGGCGCTGCGGAGCCTGAGGCCGGGCCTCGCGGCCATGGTGAGTGCGGGCGCCGCGTGGCGGTGGAGGACCAGGCCCTCGCGGCGCCGCCTGAGAGGCTAGCGGGTCCGGGGGGCTCTCAGCGCTGCGCGGCTTTCGGGCTTGGACTCCACGCTTGAGGACCGGATTTCTGCCTCACGCGCCCGTCTCAGGGAAGGGTGCCCGGCATCTTCCAGTTTGTACATGATTTAAAAATTGCAGCATAACTTAGGAACTGACTAACCTTAAAGTAAAAAACGGGATCGAGTTTTGCTCAAAGAGGGGGAAAAAAGGAAGGCTGTAAAAAATATTCAGTGTTTACACTGCCCCTAATGTAACATAACGTGGTACATTCGGCCCTTTCGAATATACGCTCCTGAGAGCAGGATTGCCCCCTGCACCGTGCGCTTGTGTGTTGCCCGATATATTGAATTAACTTAAAATAGTTATTAATAAATAATAATTTTCTGGCACATTTTGAAAAAAGTCAAGGGACACTTTGTCGCTTGTTTAAAAAATAGTTTATGGTAAATTGATTTGAGAGAAAGTTTTAACATGCAGCATCACCTAGTGGAGAAATGTTGGAAGAGCGCATCATTTTGTTTTTTTTTAGTTGGATTAGTTTACAATCCCTTAATAGAAGAAATTGATCTCTGCTGAGCTAGTTCAAGTGAAGGGAGCTCTGGTGACCTAGAGGTATGAAGCTACGCTGCGATCCCAAAGTCTCTGGGTTCAAATCCACCATCTTCTCCGTGGGAGATGGCTAGGCAATCTCCCGTGCGATTTACTCCTTCTGAAAAATCCACTGAAGGATCATTTATGAGCCGGCTGGGACTCGATGGCACACAACAACAACAACATGGTTGAGCCTTTGTCTCAGAGATACTTTGAGCATGTTGTTAAAGGGGGGCTGTTTCTTGACAAAGGACATCATCCTTGAGAAGGTGGAAGGTTAGCGAAAGAGAGGAAGACCCTCAATGAGATGGATTGACATAGTGACTGCAGCAGTAGGATTAAGTGTGTCAGAGATGATGAGGATGGCACAGGACAGGACAGGGTTCAAATCTGTTGTTCAGAGGGCCACTATGAGTTGTAGTGGATGGCACACCACCACCACCACAACAACAACAACATATGGCTGAGGGAGAGAAACACTCTGTTTCCTGGCCAAGAAGGGAGAACACAAGCTGAGTGCTGACTGTCACTTTGGCATAGCTCAAGGCACATCTCTGCCCAAGATGTAAACTTATGCTCTCAGGACAGAATGAAGACACCGATTGGAGTGGCTGCCATGCGTCATGCTTTGCTGGCTGTCATCACTTTCAAGAGTTCTTTTTTATTATTAATTTTAATGAAAGTTTACAGAGACTTAGGGTTTCCATTCATTCATTGTTACACTTTCTTCCCTGCCCACCCCTTCCTCCCCAATTTTCTTTTCTTTTTGAAAAGTAAAAGTAAGCCCATCAACAAATGAATGGATAGAGAAGTTGTGGTATATTCGCACAATGGAATACTATGCTGCATTGAAAAACAAGGAATTCATTCAGTATTATGCAAAATGGGTGACCCTGGAGGACATTATGCTGAGTGAAATATCTCAGTCGCAAAAGGACAAATATTGCATGGTGGTGCCACTGCTGTAAAATGGGACTGATATCAGGGTGGGGGTAAGACTGAGAAAAACTGTATACTGCACTGGAACAGATGAGAGACTGAATAATTTAAAAGCGATGTATGATAGGGTATTATGGTTATTACAAGAGTCCACAATTAAAGTTGCATAGTGGAATGTACTTGGGGTGGTGGGAGGGGTGCTAGGGGATTGTGTACCAGGGAGGGAGTCTTACTTTTGAAAGAGAGGAGCGAACTGGGGGGCGGTGGGAGAGGGCTGGGCGGGTAGAGAAGTGCAGCAATGAATGAATGGAAAGCCAAATTCTCTGTAAACGTTCATTAAAATTATTATTAAAAAAAAGAAAAGAAAAGTAAAAGTAAAACTCTTTCATTGTTATACAATCCCTCCCCCAAGTCCACTCCACTATGCAGCCTTCGCTCTGGACTTCTGTCATGACAAAAATACCTAATAACATATCCCTTTTAAACAGTTTTCTTCCTCATCTGTTTTGATGCAGTGTACATTATTAAGCCCATCTTTCTCAGTCTACCCCCAACCCTGAGGTCAGTCCTGTTTTACAACAGTGACACCATGCAGTATTTGTCCTTTGGTGATTGAGATATTTCACTCAGCATAATGTCCTCCAGGGTCACGCATTTTGAATAACATTGCATGAGTTCCTTGTTTTTCAATGCAGCTTAAGTATTCCATTGTGTGAATACACCAGAGCTGCTCTATCCATTCATTTGTTGATGAGTCAAGAGTTCTTCAGCCTTTCTGAAAACTTAAACTGACAGCAATAGTAACATCACCCATTACTGAGCAGAGGACACTGGAATCCAGAGAGTGCTGAATATCCAAAGGAATAAGCAAGTCTGTCTTGAAAGTAGTTTGCGCATATTGTCAGGAGGGGCCAGTTCTTAGAAAAAAGATGTCATGCTGGGAAAAGTGGAGGGAGAGAGGAAGATCCTCCACAACAAAATGGATAGAAACACTGGTTTTAACAGTGGCTCGAGCATGGTGGAGATCCTGAGGGGGGCCCAGGAGACGGCACAGTTTTGGTCTGTTGCTCATAGGGTATCTTTGAGTCTTAGATGACTTGACAGCAACAAGTAACATCTTCAGGAGCTCAGATGGCCTAGTAGTTAAGTGCTTGGCTCCTAACCAAAAGGTGTGCAGTTTGAGCCTGCCATCTGCCCCACAGATGAGGCAGTCAGCTTCCATAAAGATTTCCATAAAGTCTTGGAGACTCAACGGGCTGTTTGACTCTGTCCTGTGAAGGCTGCTGAGTTGAACTTTTGCTTAACAGCAGTAAGTTCTTGTTTTAAGTGACGTCAACATTGTGTAGCTAAAAGTAACAAAGCTGGACCTTAAATCAAACTGAACCTGTTGCCTCCAAGTTGATTTGATTCATGACACCTCATGGGTAGATCTTTGCTCTGTAAGGTTTTCAGTGGTGAGTTTTTTGGAAATAGGTCGCTGAGACTTTTTTCTGAGGTTCTATTAGGTGGATGCTGGTAGCTAAGCGGCTTCTTGGTGAAGAGTCCAGCTAAGTCCTCCTCTGCCCCTTTATGGAAGCTCAGTGTATCTGGGTGATAATCTCTCACTGGATCCTACAGGAGTTCTCAAGTAGGAAGGCAGGAGCTCTTGGCTTGTATTTATGCTCTGGTGGTTTAGTGGGTAAGGCATTACACTGCCAGTCTAAAGGCAGGCAGTTCAAATCCAGCAGTACTTTACAAGAGAAAGATGAACAATCTCCTCCCGTGTGATTTACACGGGAAAACCCACTGGAGGTCAGGTATGGTCAGTTCTGATTCACTGAGGATAAGTTTTATGCTAGAATGAAGACCTACCTCTTTTGACTTTAGTGCGGTGTCCTTTTCTCTGTCCATAATGTTTAGAGATTTTTAGTTAAGTAAAAATAGGGTAGTAAGCATTGACCTGCTAAGTGCAGAATTCAGATTTGTGAAGGTCACCGTTGGGGTGAGTAGGAACAAGGCAGACAGTGCTCAGGAGGGCTTTAGACGGCGCAGTACCCTGGTCACACTGGAGGATTTGTCTTCTAGGGTACTTGAGTAAAGCGTTTTAGAAACTCGCCCTACCAAAGCAGGGGTTTTGAACTGGAGGGTCTAGGAAATCCCAGCAGTTATAGAAAATTCTGTGTAAATGTCCATTGGATTTTTTTTCCCCTCTGGGGAGGGTCTGTATCTGATTCTGGAAGAAAATAATGACCTTAAATGTTTAGGACCCATGTAAGTGAACAGTGGTGGCACTTAGATGGTGTGGAGCCATCCAAAGAGTGGTAGAGCAGGAGCTTGGAACCCTGAGTTCTAATCCTAGTCTTGCCATTTAGTTCGCAGGCTTTTCCCCCTGGTGGTTGTTATTATTTGCTTCACAAGGGCTGGAGTGCCACACTTGTGCAGAATGTCTGAGCTGGCCCAATGGTAGAGATCTTCCTCAGGTATATCTGTAATAAGCTATAGAAGCAGACATTATGGCGCTTGAGCAGCAGTAAAGATGAGAGACACAGCATACTGTGACAACAGATCATTTACACAGTTTCATTTATTTTTTTTTCTTTTGCTTGTCTTCTGAGAACTTTGTATTTTGAGAACAAAAGAACCCAAGATTGTTCAAATATGTGGCCCTTGATGTTTTTTTATGTCTGAAGAGGAACCATGGTGATACTGTAGTTAAATATTCAAGCCACCAGCTGCTCCAAGTAGAAAGATGTGATAGTCTGTTTCTGTAAAGAGCTACCCCCTTGGAAACCTTTTGGGTCAATTCTCGGTGGCCTGTGTTGTTGTTGTGTGCCGTGTGGTCGGAACTGACTCATGGCTGACCCTCCGGCGGGTTTTCAGAGGCAGTAAATCAAGCGGGAGGAAATTGTGTATCCTTCTTCCGTAGAGCAGATGGTGGACTCAAACCATGTGCCTTTGGGATTGCAGCCCAGCTTCTTATCACAAGGCCACCAGAGTTTCCTCTATCGGCTCTAGGGTCTTAAGCAGAGATCAGCTCAGTGGCAATGGGTGTGCATGAAGTAAAGAATTGTAAGTTTGTAAGCTTATTTGTGTTTAACCAAAGCATTATGTGTCCAGATATTAAATGTGTTCTTGTTCCAGTCAGCAGATGCCCACAGATTGACAGCGGAGGAGCGGAACCAAGCAATACTTGATCTTACTGCAGCTGGATGGGCGGAATTAAGCACAAGGAATGCCATCTACAAAGAGTTCTCATTCAAAAATTTTAATCAGGTAATTGTCATCAATTCTGGGTATTGCCATGTTCTGTTTTTGCTGCTTTCCACTGTTACTGTATCTGCTAGTACTGGTTGTCAGTGCCCTGGGGATTCTGCATGTGAATCTTCCCCTCCCTGAGAATCTAGCGATGGTGCCTTCATCATTGGACACAGTTGCTGCCACCCATCTGGCCATTCCTCAGCTCAGAAGGAGCTGGTTTGTATCATTTGGAAAATCTAATTTTAAAATGACTTTTGTTTTGATTTAGTGTTGTTTATTTAGGATGTTTAGTTTCTTCTGGAATTTGAAATAATAAAGAGATGAGCTCTTTGTGTTTAACTGTAAAGATGGTTGAGAAACGTACACCTGCCTGTCTGTCTCCCCTACTTTTCTGGGACGTTGCTATATTTTCTTTGTCCAGTAGTTGTATCTCTGTCTCTGGATCATCTCACAAGCTGCACTCTCCTCCCTGATCGGCCCATTTCCCCCGAGCCCAGTAGCCAGCCCTGAATGCTTTTGTGCACACCTGACCTCCCCTTTTAGAGACTTGGCCTGAACCAGGTAACTGTTCCATTAGGGCCCCACCCTGCTTAGAGAGTCATCTCCCATGACTTTGCCTGTCAGTTATTACTCCATTGCACTTATATAAGGTAAAGGCTTTGGACTCTTTCGTGTTTGTTCAGTTAGTTTGGCAATCCTTTGGACAGATTTATTGTTTTTATTTATATTAGGTGTCAGCATTTGGAAGTCAGAGACCGTGCTTGATTAAATAACTCTATTGTACCTAACAGTTCTGGCTACAGATAGGCATTTGACAAATGCAGATGTTGATCATAGCACTTGCTGGTTTCTAGAAGGGCGTGTGAGGACCAGATTTCCACCCAAGAAACCTTTGGCTTTATTTTCCTCGTCGCTGCCTCTGGCTCCACCGAGCTGTGTGCACTCTTCTGCTCTCCATCCATCTGGCTGCCAGCCTTCTGCCGCAAGTCCCCAGCTCCCGAGAAAACCTGTACCAAGCCGACTCCCTGGCCCTGCCACTCCACATGCGTGACAGCTCTTGTTAGGGGCTTAGCACTTGGTGACTGGTTGCAAGGAATCCCATTGGTACAGTAAGCTTGTGCATAAGCTCTAGGTAACATTTTCTAAGCTTATTAAAATTCTTACATGTGTACAGCCTGACTTCTTTAAGCCTGGGCTAATTTATTGGGTTTGAACATGTGGCTTAAAGTACCGAGGAGTGCTGCCTCGGGCGCTGCCCATGACTCAGTCCTTCAACACCACTCTGATTTTGAGTGTGGGGTGACTTTCAGAAATAGCAGGGGCGGGATACTTTGCAGGACATCCTGTATTAATCCTAACGTTAATCTGTGAGACATTTCCTTAACTAGGTTATATTTCTTTTCCTCTTTTACCCAGCTTTTAGGGGAGCTCTAGTGGCTTAGTGGTAAGGAGTTACACTGTCAACGTATAGGTACTCCGTTCAGATCCACTAACTGCTCCTTGGGAGAAAGATGGACAGTCTCTTCCCATGTGATTTACAGCCTCTGAAAACACAATAGAGTGTCAGTTATGAGTCAATTCGACTCGATGGTCCACAACAACAACAACAATGTTAGAACTAGATGACAAGAGAATCCAATGGTATCCAGAATTCTGAGAACCAGCACTGAAATGATATCACGGGGTCAGTCGTTTAACTAGTGTCCTACCTCTGCATGTTCAGTGGCCTATAAAGACAACTGGCAGTGAAAACTGCCAGTGCCCCCTAGCTGAAGACCACCACTTGTGATTGAGCAAGATGAGTGCATTTCTTGTTGCAGTGAGGGAGGAAGAATCCAGGGAACATCCTAGATCATCTCAACAAGTCCTGGTTCATCCCAGGAAGAGGGTGGTGGAGCACACACTCCAAGATTTGCATTTATAGCAGTGATTTTGGGGAGTTTTTATTCTGTGGACTGAGTGATGATATCAGGAAGTGGAGGTGATTCTGTGATTGGAGAGTTTGCTAAGTCTTCCCTCTACTTACCTCAAGGGAGCGAAGAGCAGAGTGAGGCTGGTGGAGAAGCAGTAGTGAGTTGTGGTAGCGCGGAGAGGGGTGCTTGGTATTTCGTGGTTTGGACAGTGCTCATACATGTCTGTTCAGGTGTGATTGCAGAGTGGTCTTGTTTTGATTCATCGGGTCACAGAGTGGCCCTGTCTTATGCTGAAGTGTATGCTCAAGAGGAGGACACTGAGGTCCAACTGCCAGGCTGACTCCTGGTATTGGGGGCAGCTTTTGTCTTATACTCACCGATCGTTACTCACCTTCCCTTTAAGAGACAAGACAGGTTTTTAAAAATTATAGTAGCAATGTAACAGCATGCAGAAATTATCGAATATCATTAATATCATATGTAAGCAAGATTTGCTGAAACTTACCCAAAAACGATTGGAGAACTGCCAGATGTGCAGGCTGGATTTAGAAGAGGTTGTGGTACTAGGGACATTATAGCTAATGTTAGCACAATCAAATGTTCTGGGATTCCCATTCTTCTCAGAGTCAGCCATAGCTTGTTATCCACACAGTCAAAAGCCTTTGCATAGTCAATGACGCACAGATAGACATTCTTCTGGTATTCTCTACCTTTTTTTTGGTGTTGTTGTTATTGTTATGTGCTGTTGAGCCGCTTGTGACTCATAGCAACCCTATGTATAAAAGCCCTGAACCCTGCTCTATCTTGTGCTAGCCTTATTGTCGATGACACCCCTACCCTCATTACCCCAGTCACTGAATCAATCCATCTCATTGAGGGTCTTCCTCTCTTGTGCTGTCCCTGCACCCTGCCAAGCATGACGTCCCTCCTCTCCGAGGACTGGTTCCTCCTTGCAACATGTCCAGAGTATGTCAGAGTATGTCAGATGAAGCTTCAGAATCCTTGCCTCCAAGGAGCAGCCTAGTTTCACCCTATCTAGGATGAACGTGTTTGTTCTCCTAGCAGTTCTTGGTATATTCAGTACTCTAGCATCATAGCCCAAAGGCATTGGTTCTCTTTCCATCATCCCTAGTCATTGTCCAGCTCTCTGACACATAACAAGTAATTGCAAAGACTGTGTGTGACCTGGATCAGGTGCGCCTTAGTCTCCAGACTGACGTCATTGCTCTTCAGTACTCTTGAGAGGTCCCTGACAGCAAACTTTCCCAAGGCAATTTGTCTTTTGATTTCCTGGCTGCTGTTATCAATAATGTTGATTATGGAGCCAAGCAAACTGAAGCTGTTAACAATCTCAATCTCTTCATCTATCATGATGCTACCAATCAGCATATGTATAGTTTATGTAAAATGTGATATTTGTGTGTGCAGTTAACATTTTAAGAATTAATTTAATTTGTATTAGAAAAGCAATGTTTGTGAATCCAACTTTTTATTATTGTAGTTTCAGTGAGATTTTACAGAGAAAACAAATTTTTTTTTGAGTTTCACATTAATTGGTACTTTATTTGCTTAAAACCTAGACAACATTTGTCAGTTTGAGAAGAAATTCATTCTGAGATATAGGCTGATTTTACCATTTAAATTATAGAGGGAAGTTATCCTTGGTAAAATTTTACCCAAGAAACAGAACAGATACACATATACTTTAAAAACATGAAAATTAAAGAGTGAGATCTGAAATCAACAATGATTTCACTTTTGGTGGCTCCTGCCCTTTTTTTTTCTTTTAAAGCTTCTTAAAGACTGCAGCAGGATAAAGGATCACTGAATCTTATCTCTAAGAAGTGATAAATAAAAAGAAAACCTATAAATGACATAGCTGAGCCTCTACATCTTGTGGTTCCTAACCTCTACACTATAATAGACAAAGTGCTAGTCTATAGGCTTTTTATTGTAAGAACCACCTTCCCTCTGTAACTTGATTTGTGCCACTATTAGAACCTCTACTTGGAATATTATTGCTTTTTAATTTTTGACTCATGTGCTTTTAACTTGTTAGTTAAATTTATATCTTCTAGGCTGCAACACTTCCATGATACATCTTCAAGGATATGAACATGTACAGCTAAGCACAATTGATAACAGTGAATCTAAATTCCAAACTCAGTCTCCATAATAGTCTATGTGTTTCCTACTGCCAAGGGGGCCCTTTAGAGTAGTGAGAGAAGACATTCACCCTGAAACCCACAGTGTCCCTTTTCAGCAGGAAGTAGCTAAGAGAATACGCCATCCCCTTTTCCTTATGAATCAGGGTGAAGTCTCTCTCAGGGAGGAGTGATAGGGAATGGCAAAGGACACACCGACAAAGGAGATTAATCAGAACTGGCTTTGACAAGCACTGTGGCAATTGGACAATTAAAACAGATATTCAGGGGGGGGGGGAAGAAGAATGAACTGCGGAGGAGGGTAGAGAAAACAGTGCAACAATGAATGAATGAAAACCCAAAATCTCTGTAAATGTTCACTAAAACTAATAAAATGTAATAATAATTAAAAAAAAAGAAAATGTTATTATTTTCAACAAATGGAAAAAAGCATTCAAAGCCAAGCCATAGCCAAAACCTGTTCTATCTTAAGTGGGTTCTCTTTTTTGCCGTTTTCTTTCTTTCAATAAAACCTTTCCCCAAACTATCATCACTTTAATCATCCCCACACTGGGCCTCATCTTCAGAGCCTTCGTCCCCTGATTTCTCAGGCGGGCTGGCAGGGGGCTTCTTTTCGGGAGGGCTTTCGTTGTCTTTGGGGGAAGGAGTCTTTTCCTTTGATGCCTTTGAACCCACTTTCCCTTTGCCTTCCACTGGACTTGGCGTCACTGTTGCCTTTAGCCTGGGTTTGGGCATTTTCTTTTCTTTTCTCTCAGGCTTAGCCTTCTTAACCATCTTTTTGTTTTTCTTTTTTGAACTGCCATAGTCACTGTCATCATCATCTTCCATTAGGAAATCTTCATCACTGTCAGAGTCTTTTTCTTGGAATGGTGCCTCATCTTCCTCTTCTTGTTCTTCCTCACTGCCCACGTCTTCCAAGAGCATCTCTCTCTGCTTA